ACAGCCAGGGACGTTTCTTCTCCTTGTTGCTCACTTCCTCGTTGTGTCTTCTTTTTATTTTTCTTTCTTAATATTTGTGCTTTGCAATTAAACGGCGTCAACGCTGGCTGTGTGCATCAGTGTGCTGGGGCTGGCTGAGCGTGACCCAACCCTGTGCCCCACGCAGGGGTTGGCCGAAGTGCAGGGCAATGGGACGTGATGGGTACGGTGGGAACCTCGCCCTCTGCTCGGGGACGCGCGGAGCCCAGCAGCAGCGGTGGGGATGGGTGCGAGGGTGTGAAAATGGCACCGCTCCGGGGCGCTGGGCAGGGCGGCCGCTTCGAGGAGAGCTTCCTTCCTCCTGGCCCGGGCTGCGCTCCCCGAAGCTGAGCGGCTCAGAGCTCTCATGTGACCGCCGGCTTCCTGTGCGCTTCCCAGCTGCGGTGCCGACGCTTCGGTCCGTGCCCCGCCAGGCGCTGCGCCGTGCTCCGGCACCCAGCACCATGCTGCGCCGAAAGCCATCCAATGCCGGCGAGAAGGAGCCGGGCCACAGGAAGGTGAGCGCCGGGACTGGCCCGGAGATGGCCATCCTTCACTGATGGGACTGAGGGTTGAGAGCACCGGGTGATGCGGGCTGTGCGTCCGGGAGGTTGGGATGGAGTGGGGCAGAGGTGGCACTGCCAGCAGCCACCAACGACACCGCAGCCCCACGAACGCGCAGCTCAGGCTGGGAGCTGAAGCTGCTAGAAGCAGCCACCGCCACCCGGTGCCCGCACAACGCGGGGCGGCAGCAGGGGCTGCATCCTCGGGGTGCGGCAGTGATGCGGGGTTGGGGATGCTCAGACCCCTAAATGACTATTGGCATCCGTAGGGTCGTGCCGGGGGGCAGCAGCTCCCCCTCCTCGCTGCTCTCTGCAGTGTGGGCGGCCGCTGCCGTTTCCTGCCGGGGGGATGGCGGGGCTGCCGGGCACGGCTCCCAGCAAGGTGTCTGCGGTCGAGGCAGCGCGAGGTTGCAGCCCCATCACGTGCATCCGCCGCTTCCTCCGGCAGCTCTGCACCGGCACGGAGCCCTCGGCCTGCGGGCAGGGTCTGCAGCAGCAGCAGCACCGTTGCTCTTCGTTAGTCTCCATTGCAAGGCACTCACCAGCAGAGCCGAGCGGGGTCACCGCGCTGAGAAGCTCCGGGCTGCTGAGCGAATGGCTGTGCAGCATCCCGCGGAGCAGGGCTGCCCTAGAGAGCCCCGCTGGGCATCCCCACCGCTCTCACTTCCCTCTCGCTCCCTGGCTGCAATGCTGCTGAGGGTGCAGCACAGGGCAGGGCCCCCCTTCCCCCCTCCCGCCCCCCCCCCCGAGCTCGCGGTTTGCCAACGCTGTGCCAGTGCTGTTGCAACACCGGCTCCTCCCCAGCATGGGGCCGGCTGTGCAGTGAAGCCGTGGTGCCAACTGCAGCGCCAGGAGCTGCTGTCACACAGGGATGCAGAGGAGACTCTGAGAGCTCAAAGTGCAGGAGCAGGGAGAAAATAAAATGGGTGCCCAGTGGAGCTGGCAAAAAGAAGAACTGGGTGGGGAAGTTGCAAGGCCGTGGTTGAGGGCAGCGCTGCCATGCTGGGGGTGAGCAGAGAGCAGCACAAAGAGCCCTCACCCCCTCCCCACGCCCCCAGCTCTCCCTGCAGCGTTCCAGCAGCTTCAAGGACTTTGCCAAATCCAAAGTCAGCTCCCCGGTGACGAGTGAGAAGGAGTTCAACCTAGAGGAAAATGTAAGCACCTGTCCCCACCCGCAGCCCTTCTCCAAATCCCGTGAGGCACCCAGGGGCCTGGCATTGCCCTGATCTGGAGCCTTGGGAGCCCCCCATGCCCTCCCTTCTCTGTCTCCCCGCAGATCCCCGAGGATGAGCCCAGCAGTGCAGGCCCTGAGGAGGCGGCTCGGGGCAGCAGCAGTGGGATGAAGCTGGGCAAGAAGTGGCGGGCTGTCATCTCCCGCACCATGAACCGCAAGATGGGCCGCATGGCCGTGCGGGCGCTGGCTGAGGGGAAGGTGAGAGCAGGGCTTGGGGCTGTGGGGCAGCCATCCCCGTTCTGCAGCACCAAGCCCACTCCCCACAGCAGGCGGAGGTGGAGGAAGAGGGGTGTCCGTCTCCCCTGCCCTCAGCTGGCACAGAGGAGCCGGGCCACGAGAAGATGCCGCTGTCCTACATGGAGATGGAGGAGGACTCACACCCGTCTGTCAGCCGCCAGCTGTCCAGCGGTGAGCACAGCCCAGGCTCCAAGCATGGCCCCAAGTTCGGCACCGGTGCTGAGCCCTGCCATCCCCTTGCAGGCAGTGAGGGGCTCAGCCCCAGCTCCACCAGCCAGGACAGCCCGCGGTTGGAGGACAGCAGCCCAGCCTACACCGGGCCCTTCTGTGGCAGAGCCCGCGTGCACACCGACTTCACACCCAGCCCCTATGATAAGGACTCGCTGAAGCTGCGGGTGAGGGCCAGGGGGTGTCTGGGGATGTCTGAAGGGGGGTGGGCACGGTGGTGGGAGGCTCAGGGTAGATATCACACTGCCGAAGCCGTAGTGGGGTCACCATCACCCAGATTGTGGGGATGTGGCACTGAGGGATGCAGTGATGGGCATGGTGGGGTGGGCTGGGCTGGGGATCCGAGAGGGCTTTTCCAACTCAAATGATGCTGTGATCTCTTGGATCAGAAAGGGGATATCATCGGCATCATCGAGAAGCCACCTGTGGGCACCTGGACGGGGCTGCTTAACAACAAGGTGGGCTCCTTCAAGTTCATCTACGTGGATGTCATCCCTGAGGAGGCAGCCCCCACCCGCAAGAGCCGGGGCCAGGCCAAGAGCAAGCGGCTCAAGCCCAAGACCCTCCATGAGCTGCTGGAGCGCATCAACCTGCAGGTGAGGGCTGGGGGGGGAAACAGGCACTGCAGTGGGGCAGGGGCAGAGCTCACCTGGCCCATGGGGGACAGTAGGGGATCACATGGGTAGCACAGGGGAGCAGTAGAGATGGGATGGGTTGGGATAAGGATCAGAGCATCGTAGGAAGGAAAGGTGGAGCCTCCGCTCTGCTCCCACACTGTCCCATCCTCTGGTCCCTCTGCTTCGTGCCTGAGCGTGGCTGAGGACAGAGGGGATGCACGAGGCTGGAGCAGGGCTGGGTTCTCCATCGTGCTGCTCGCTGCCCCAGGAGCACATCTCCACGCTGCTGCTGAACGGCTACCAGACTCTGGAGGACTTCAAGGAGCTGCGGGAGACCCACCTCAATGAGCTGAACATCACCGACCCCCAGCACCGCGCCAAGCTGCTCACAGCTGCTGAGCTCCTCCTGGATTATGACAGTAAGGGCTGGGCAGGGGATGTCCCACATTGGCTCTAGCCTTGGCGGCTGGGAGCAAGCTGATGGCCTGATGTTTTGTCCTGTGTCCCCCAGCAGCAAGCAGTGAGGCAGAGGAAGGGGACGGCACCGCTGAGCAGCATTCGCCCTCAGAGCCCAAGGGGGACATTCCCCGGGACTCGGGCTGCTTCGAGGGATCTGAGACCCTGGATAGCAGCCGTGAGGAGGCCGAGCTGCCGAGCCCTGAGGGGCAGCTGCAGGCTCTGTCCCTGGCAGAGTCCTCCTGAGCCCCCGCCATGCTTTACAGGCTCTGGTGTGGCAGTGGACAGAGGGGAGAACTCGGTGGGGTGTGGGTGAGCCCCAGGGATGAGGGCACACTGCAGGACCCTGTGCTGTAGGTGGGTCGATCCCCCAGGTGTGCTGCTCCAGGACGTTCTGTGCTGCCTCACACCACCATCCCACAATGCAGGTGCTCCAGGCACTGCGGGAGAGTCCCAGAAATGCTGCAGGTCTGTTTGCCAGCGCTGGGCTGCCCCATTTCATCCACAGCTTCAAGAGCTCCTCTGGGAGCCCACATCTGCCAGGCCAAGCAAACAGCAGCGCAAAGGAGCCTGTAAGGACAGGGACAGCATGGACAGAGCAAGCACAGCACTGAGCAAATCAAGCAAGCAAGCAGAGGCATCGAGGCAACATCTCTACAAGCAGGACTTGGCTTTCCTCGACCACCATCCTCACACAGCCAAAGCAGATCGGGGAAGGAGGTGTGCAGGAGGTTCAGCTGAGCCCTGAGAGCAGCCCAGCAGGACACCAGGAGGCAGCCCATGTTCCAGAGGGGCTGTGTGAGGAAGGGGGCTGAGCACTGTGCTGCCTGAAAGTGAACCCATGCAGGTCCAGACTTTTCCCATAGCCCTGCAGGACACGACAGGCTGATCCCTCCCAGCATCAGCTGCTCCAGGCATCTCTGGGAAGGGGCAGAGGAGCTGCAGCACTACTGGGGCAATGAGCTGATGAGGAGTGTGTATCACCTGTAACCAAACCCTGGGGTTGTGGGAACTGCAGCATTCAGACAGCTGAGGCCCTCACAGCTGCACTCAATCACCTCCAACTCCCACACTGTGGGACCACTGTGGTGGACCTCTGAGCCTCGAGTTTGTTCTTTTATGCTTGATCCCAATAAATACATGCTCTGGCCTTCAGCCTCCTTCCTACCTACCCCAAAGGCTTGGGGAGAGAGATGGGGGCCGAGCAGTGCCTGTTCAGTGAGGCTGCAGGCAATTTATCTTCCCAGGACCAGCTCCTGCTGCACTGGTGGCCGTGTTTGGGGGAACAGCAGGACACAGGTAAGACAAGGGCTGGCTCCAGCACTGCATGGATGTGTGAGGTGCACAGGGGGATGAGGAAGGAAGCAGCTCACTTGGGGAAGCACAGACAAACAGAGGCAGAGGCTACAGCTCAGCCATTTTCCAAAGCAATTAAGTTTCCTTTGTTGTTTAAAAAAAAAAAAAAAAAAGAAGAAGAAGAAAAAACAACCCTCACCCTACCCCCACTTCCTTCACAAGAACCTGAACAGAGCAGACAGGAACCACAGGTGCAGGCAGCATCCGTGACAGCCTAGCAGGCAGCACTTGACACACTGAGTTAGAAAATAGATTAGTACACCCCCCAAAATACACTTCTTTTTTTTTTTTTTTGCAATGACTTTGAGATTTGCCCAGTAGAGCATTGGTGCAGGCAGGAGAGGTGTGCAAGGGCAGTGGGGCCACTCCAGATACGCAGGGAAGGACTCCAGAACTCCTTGCAGGCAGCTGCAGGGACCAGACTGCCCTCCTCTCCATCTCACATCACTACTGGAAGCAGCACGATGCAGAAGGACAGGGAATGAGGGGGGTACTGCAGCATGGAGCACACCCAGATGGGAGGGATGGTGAGCTGCTGGGACACAAAGACACCTTCCCTCCAGCTCCAGCCTCTGCATGGCCCCAGAGAGGGAGAGCTATGATTGGAAACTAGTATCAGGGCCTTCACCACCTCTCCTGCTTCCTCGTGCAGTAGGGCAGTACGAAGGCTCTATAAGCCGGTCAAAGATGTCTGAGAAATGCAGGGGGGGGGCACGGGGACACGACAACACCACACAGAATCGGGGCTGAGGTTGCATGGAGCAGCAGCTGAGCGGTGTGACCCAGCCCGGCAGGGAAGGGTGCAGGCACCCACAGCACCTTCAGCCCTGGCATGAGGCCGGGAGGCAGCTGGGCACACCGTGCACGCAGAGACAAGCAGCAGGAAGGAGGGCTGCTCTGCTCCTTTCCCCGCCCCGGCACACGTGAGCTGCAGGGAAAGATGCCAAGGAAGGCCCACACCACCACCGCTCTCACACCTGCTGAGTCGTGTGAGGAGGGAACACAGGAAGGAAATGACTTGAGAAACCACTGCCAGCAGAACACCTTCCCAGTTTTTTGGGCCCTTTTGGCACCGCAATGTCTCCTGAACAACCCCTGCCACGTTCACCAATAAAACAATGCCACAGATTAGAGGAAGGAGGGAGGAGGGGAGAGAGGACGTTACTGCCATAAATCGCTTTCCCCTTCCCATCAGGATTCCTCAGCAGCAGGGCACAGGCCGGCCCTAACGTCGCATCCAAGCTGTGTGACCACAAGTCATCTGCTCAGTCAGAGCCAGACGTGGGGACAGCTCAGACCACTGAGCCAGTATTTAGCGTTGAAGACAACCTGCAGAGCAAGAGTTCCTGCCTCGGCCTGCAGGGAGACCAGCCAGTGGTGGGGAGTGTCCCTCAGTGATCACAGTGGGCCACTTGTGCTCGTTATCCTTGGCCACCATGCAAGATCAGCACCAGCCCGCACTGCCTGCACATCGAGATGAATAATGACTAAAGCAAAACGGCCGTGAGGAATCATTTGCCTGCCATCCAGCCCATCTCCTCCTCTCCTCAATCACTTCCAGCTTTGATTCGACAATACAAGAAAGTTCTCCCTTTCAAGCAGAGGCTAGTGCTCTGCTTGCCCAGCATCCTGGGATAGGGCTGGGAGCTCCCCAGTTGTTAGCTGCTTCTTCTCTGGCATCTCAGCGTTGCTCAGGGATGGCACAGGGACCTGGAGAGAGAAAACAGCAGTGACTTACATGAAGGCACCTCCACGCCTGTGCACAGAGATGTGGCCCTGAAGCCCCTGCCTCCAGCCCTGCCAGGCAGAGTTCTCAGATGTGCTTCAGAAAATGGGAAGCAAGGATCCACCACAGAGGCAGAACATCAGCTCCAGGAAGATGTGGAGCACAGGATTGCTCCAGCAAGAGCAGTCTGGACTATTTCTGCTAGAGAAATAAGCAGCTCACACCTAAGCAGGAGTAGGTCCAGTCCATACAGAAGGGATCACTCACGGCACTCTGGTGAGGAAGGCTGCCATCCTGTTGAGTGCTGCTCTCTTCTGCCTGCCCACCAGGGCCCTGAGCAGCAGTGGGCTCTTGAGCACTGGGTCCCCGTGTGCACGTCTCCTCCTGAGCTGCATTCTCCTCTTGCTGCAAAATGCCCCGTCTGTCCAAGACGCTGCAAGAACAAAATCACACTGTTAAGAGATCTGCACCTCACCTGCATCACCTTCTAGTTTTCCTAGCAGGAAAACTGCTGATAGAAGAAGACAAAAGTCAAGGGAAGAGGCTCCCTAACTCCAAAACAGGCTATGTATAGCATCATCCTAGCTTACAGTGCCAATGCTTCTGCTAGGAAATCCAAGCCCACTGGAAAGCAACCCAGTTCAGTGTGGGAGTCCACCAAAACAAGTGCCCTGGAAACTGCCTCCTCTCCATGTGCTGGCCCAGAGAGGGGGAATTCAGCCCTCCCTTGCTTCCCAAACACACTGTTTGGGAGTACATCACTGGAAACATGCAAAGAAGGCAAAACAAGACCTTCCTCCTTGGAGCATCTGGCGGTAGCCCAAAAGAATTCTAGAAACCCTCAGCACACAGTGGAGAAAGGCAGCTGGGTCTTGCACCCAAGGAGGAGAATTCCTCAGGGTCCCAGGATCTGGAACAGCAACAGCAAGGTTGTCCCTCAAGAACGTACCTGGGGGGCAGAGGCCCACAGAGCACCTCACAGCAGTTCTTCACCATGTTGCCATGGCTGTAGGGATTCTGCACACGGTTCTTTCCAGTCCAGGAACCCTTGATCTGCAACAGACAGGACACAAGCTCAGATATGCTCCACCCCCACCTGCCCCCAGCTGCAGCATGAGTAGGGCAACTTAGCAAGATGGTTGCAATGGTTGACACGTAGAGGAAGCAAAGTGAAACAGGGGTGACTCAGGAGGAACAGATTCTACTTACATCTTCGTTGGTTGTCTGATTCAGTGCCACCAGGAAGGTGTGGAACCCAGTTAACCCCACCACCGACCACAGGGTAAAGAAACAGATGAGCACCTCCAGTACAGTGAGAACAGTTAAGGACTGGGAATCAGGCAGACAGTCAAGCCCCAGATGAGTCACACCACCCAAGTGCACTGGTCCAGTTTCTCTTTTTCACTCAAGCACAGTTTTCTGTTTTATGCCCTCCCAAAAGCCACTAGAATTGCTTATTACCTTGTAAATCAAGGAGGAATGGGGAGATGCCCTGAAAAACTCCTTAGAGAAGCCTAGGCATCAGGATTTCATTCCCTCCATAATGCAGCCCACACTTCCCCCACCAGCTTAGGAGAAGCCAACCCCTCTGCACTGCGGGAAGGATATGTCCCTGGGGTTTCCTTCAATGTGTTCAGGAACCCAATCTTCAGAGATTCTGGCAATATAAAGAAAGAGGTATTCGGTCTCTGGGACATCACACCGAGTCCAACTCCCTTTCACAGTCTGTTAATTCTGGGTTCATAACATCACCAGCATCTTCCCTCACCCTCAGCCAGCCCAGCCAGACTCACTCAGTGCTACGTAGACTATGTCAAAGGTGAAGATGTAGATGGTGAGGAGTGACAGCGAGAGGATGAAGAGGTAGAAATAGCGGTAGTTCCTCTTCCCCACGCAGTTGCCCACCCATGGACAGTGATGGTCAAAGCGCTCTGTGAAAGCAAAGATGGAAATCAGTGCTGCTCCAAAGCAATTCTGTCTGCCTCCAGGTGTTTATTTCTGTGCCTTGAACTCAAAAATCTACACGGCTGACAGGAACTCTTTGGGCTAACAAGGTGACCTCCCTGCTAACTCAAGGCTCTGTATCATGCTCCCTTCCAGAGGGAGCAGTGGAGGCTAGGTAAAAGAGTGTGAAACTGTTCTACTGAGTCAGTTTGCATCTTAAGCTAATTTAAGAGCTCAGCCCCATGCATGTCTTCTCTCCCAGAGACCTGTGGTATAATAGCTTTTACAGCATGCAGGTTGGCTGAGGGGCTGGGGGTTCAGCAGTTCTCATTTAACCCACGTGCTACCTTACTCCTACTGAGATCATTAAAACGGGGTTGAAGAGACTGAGTAAATGGTCAAAGGGCTGCAGAGGAGATGGATTCAAAAGGGGAATATGAGCTAATTATGGCACGTACGAGGACTAAGAGAGCTGCTGTGGCAACAGGAAGGGGACAAGACAAAAAAAGGGTACTTGTTGAAAGAGCATGGTCTCCAAGCTCGTACAATTAGTTGTTTTCACACAAGTTGCAGCTCTTCCTCTGGCCCAGCAGTTCAGTGAAACTCAAAAATGGATTGTGTGTTTACATGGTTAACTTAGACTTATATAAGAATAGTTATTGCCAAAGAGATGCTGGCAAAGACAAACCATCTGGCTTCAGGTTTCTGAGCAAATCTCAAGCTCCTCAGGCTTAAGATGAGGCAGACTGTCCCCATCTGTTCAGACAACACCATGCTGGACTTCCTCCATCACTGCTGGAAGCACGTGCAGCGTGAGACAGGACGCAGAAAGAGACTGAGTGCAGATCTTCACCTGCTCCCTTCCAAAGGCTCTCACCCAGCACCCAGATGCAGGAGCAGCCACAGCCTCTTCTACTCACCCACACAGTTGTCGCAGATGCTGCAGTGAGAGGCACGGGGTGGACGGAAGATCTTACACGTGTAGCAATACTTCAGCTTCACTATCTGGTTGTTGATCTGGAAGTTCTTAATCCGTGGGGGCGGGCGCTGACCCTGTGGCACAGTCCCATTGGTGGCTTCTGAGAGCAAGAATCAAGCAGAGATCAGACTGCTGCTATGACATGACAAGACTAGAGCAACAAAATCTCCTCCCTGCTTTTTCCACCTGCTGGCTCAGAACCTGCTGGGTCTAGAGCCAGTGGATGTAGCACTGCTCACACAATCCAGAGCCAATCTGCCAGCTTGGAGCTGGAAGAAGAGATGCCAGAGCTTTCATGAAGGTATGAGGAAAGTAAAAAAAATAAAAATTAAAAATTAAAAAAAAAACACAAAAAACATAAATCACTGAACAGACCTTCATCCGCCAAATTTCCTTTTTACTTGAAGAATTACAGGTCCTGCATCAAGCTTCCTGCACTCCTTACCAAGAGCAAACTGAGCTAATAATGTACACAGCTACTGACAGAGAAAACTGCGTGCGTAAAGGCTGCCAGAAAGGAACATTGCACCATCTCTCTGAGACTCAGCCAAGCAGAATTAGCCCTCAGGTTGTAAGATGCCCAGTCCGGGACTCTTAGAGGCTCAAGAGGGAATAAAGCTGTGCAGAGAACTTAAAGTATGCCAGAAACACTGAAGCTTTTCCAGTCATCACCAGCTGGGCTGGTGCAGCACTCACCAATCTCCATCTCAATGAAGGCTGCTTCATCAGGCAGGGCTCTTGGGATCACCCCAGGATCACTGAAGCTCGTCCGCAGGAGTGTGGCCATGGCAAACAGGAAGAGAACTGCTGCAAACACAGGGATGGCTGGAGAGAGCTGGACTGCCAGGTATCGACACCTGCAAAAGAGGGCAGGAAGCAGTGAACTGGATCACAGTAAGGTCTGCCCAGACCAGGACCTCAAATTCTGGCACGTCATTGAAATGCAGGCACTTCTGTTCAGCACTTCCTTCTGATCCCACCACCAAAGAGGCAACATCACTGGGGCAGCTCTAACAGCCAGCTACGACCAGAGATGCACCATGAATTTAACCAGGCAGAACACAGTATACTTTTGAGTACTTTGCTTTGTTTCCAGTTCCTGTTTTGCCCAGTCACAGGTGACAACAGAAACAAACAGCCAGCTCCAGAGATCCTGCCTAGAGGACATCTATGGCAGCCACTGCCAAGAAGGCATACCTTACAGGAGAAGCACCCAAAGCCTTTTCTGAAAGCCCACAAGCACCAACATGCACTGGAGCAATAGGAATCTCTGGCTGTCCCATATTCAGGCAGCTTCCAGCACCACCTTTCCTTCTCAGGACAGATTCACGTACAAGCACAGTGTCCCTGTGCAACAAGACACCTGGCTTCCCCTGACTCTTCTGAGGCAAGGGACTCAAAAGAAGTTCCAAATGAAGTAGGAAGGCTCTCCCACGTGTGTTCCTGAGAGGGGAAACACGGCCTGAGGTTTGTTTGCTTTACACATACAGAAAAGCCCAAGCAGAAATTTGTGTTGATAATCCTATTGATGGAGGCAGTACAGAAGGACAAAGGAAAATAATCTCATTATGCCTCATGATTCTTCTGGACACCTGTAAATGTCTCCACGGGTGATTCAGCACAGGCCACACAGAAGGTGTGTACGGAAATCATGGTTTAGGGTGGCATCAGGCTGATAAAATATACATTTTTACCTTGGTTCCTTCACAAAAGCCTGTTTGTGTTGGGGTGAAGTTCTGCTTCCTTTGCAGCAACAAATTCTGCAAACTCACCCTTCACTGCAGGAAGGCTCAACAGATTTCCATGTGCTGCTGCTCGGCTCTGGTGCCTGTCCCCTGTGTGCAGCAAAGTACAGACAGACCACACAGCACGGCACGCTTTGGCCGCAGTGACACGTAGGGCCCATCCCCTAAACCAACATCATTAATTTTAGACTCTACCAACTCTGCAATTACTCAAAACAGTACAACCCTTGGAGCGAGGAGCTCCTAGTTTGCAAAGGCAGAGCGAGCAGTGGGAGGGCTGGGCTTACTGCCTCAATGCAGCTCGAGATAACTTTGCCTTCCCTTTTGTAAGGACAAAGTCTAGAGAGAGAGAGCTGCAAGTCAACTCGCAATTAAACAGCAACCTTGGGTCCTGTTTTGGGAAGGAATACTCCTGCACACGGTCTGTCCCAAAGGGCTGCAGCGTGACCCTTGTCCAGCTGACAGGACAGCTTTCATAGCTGCTGTAACAACAGGAACACGTTATGGGCTTAGAGAAAGGATTCATCAACTGCATTAAGCTGAGCTGAAACGGGGCCAGAGCTCCCAACCTCAGCCACACATCGACACCTTCACAAGTTTCTTCAGCGTGCTGTCAGCACAGAGATTTACTACCTGCAAACATGTGATGTTGCTGGGTGTGCTCCTCAGGCACAGAATGAAGCTTTACAGCAGAGGTTCTGTGCACAAGCACCAGCATGGATACGACCTGCTGCTGGCTGACCACTTCATGGGAACCTCTGCAAGGAAAGCAGCAGTGTGGGGAGGCAGAGCTGAGGCTGCACCATACTGCTATCACACCATGTGGCATGGGAATGGGAAGGAGGCTGTGATTTTAGGAGATGGAAGATGAGTGCACGACTGTCCTCTCCGCTGCAGCAAGGGAAACAGCACCATGCAGAGCAGGCTGGGTCCTGGCTCAGCAGGAACGAGGAGGCAGCCAGGTACTCACTGTGCTGGGATTCTTCAGTTCATGCTTTGCAGCGTGATTAAGCTTGGTAATTCATTTACACTGCTAAGTAACAGACATTTTAAAGATCTTTTGTTTGGGAAAGCTGAGCGCCAACAGAGACACACTGTTGGGATGTCAGGATATGGCTCCTCCTCCCCTCCCAGAGCAGTATCTGTGTTCTGGAGCATTTTGTCATCTAATACCAGACAATAACAGCACTATTACAATGCACCGTGGGAGGGGGGTGAGAAAGACTGAAACAAAGAGACCATTAGAAAGGGGAGGGGGGAGCAGCCAGAAGCAACAGATGGAGGTGCTGCGAGTTTAAGGCTCGCTGTCCTGGTGACATTGAGGCCACTTGGGAAGCCGTGCCGTGGCCAGCACAACCAGCACAGCCTAGAGGAAGGGGAAAACCTGAGCACTGTCTGCAGCACAGCAATTCAGGCTGGGAGTCATTCACCACGCTGAGGCACAGCTGGAGCCGTTGGGAGAAACCATCCCCATCAGTCAGCAGGAACAGCAGAACCACATGTTGGAGTGCAGTCACACTGTGAGCACACACTGGGTGCTCCCAAGCTGCCCAAACCCACATCAGCAGTAAGGCAGCACCAGGGTCTGTGTGGGGAATGCTGGTGGAGCAGAGGAGTGACCTGCAAAGTGCAAGAGAAAGGGCAGGTAATGCAGAAACACAGGGGCAGCTCCACACGGACACGTCCTTGTGAGCAGCATGAACTGAGCTCTGCGTGCCATCAAGTTCAGAGTACAGAGAGCACGACAACACTAACAAGCACCTAACAGCTCCTGTGCAGCTTTAGACAATGCTTAACAAGGCTCTGAGCAGAGAGGAAAGCCACCTGAGCTGCAGCTCCGAACAGCACAAAATCCTGAATCTCTGGGGTTTACGAAAGAAAAATAAGCGGAAGGCAAAGTCACACGAAGGGTCAGCTCAGGTTTCTCAACTTATCAAAAAACAAAGACGTTTTAATGCCTACATAGCTAAGAACGTAGAAAAAACCATAAAGATAAACGAGCTTGGTTATCAGAAAAGCAAACAGCAGCCCCTTCCCACAGCCAGGAGCGTGGCATGGCGGGCACTATCTTGCTGTAACATTTACAAACGGTGAGTGCTTGTGCTGAAAAGCTGGAGACAAAAGAAAAAGAGAAGTGGGTGCCTGTCACTGCAGGACAGCCCTTGCAAGGGCACCAGCAAACAGCAAAGAGAAACCTGCACAGTCAGAGGGGACGTTCTATCCCCTCCCGTCCTTCCCAAAGCCATTTCAGCAGGGTTTCACCTGTCCTTCCCATCGCATCCAACCCCATGGGTACAGCTGGACACTGAGCACCTGAGTACAGCACACCCAATAAATGCCTCAAATAACACCATTTAAACACAATTTTATGTGACACGTTATGGCTGTGAAGCAGACCCAATGAATCACAGGGGTCGACTCCACGGGGACCAGCTCAGCTTGGGAGCAGCAGGAGCTGCGATCTGCCCTTGGGCACACTGCCCAGTGCTCCCATAGAGCCCAGTGCCTCTGCTCCTTTGGGATGGAGGGGCCAACCTCCGGGTCCAGCAGCTGGATCCATCCTCCGGGCCTCCTCCTCTCCCCTCTAACAGCATTCCTATCTGCAGCTTTGAGGTCAAGAGAAGAGAAGCAGCAGAACGCCCGCTCGCTGGCTCTGTTGAAGCAGAGATGCGGCAGATCGGGGGAGAAAAAAAAAAAGCCACCAGCAGCAGCCAAAGCAGAAAGGCTGTCATTTGGCGGCTGGGGAGGACTCCTTCTGCGAGCAGCTTATCTCGTGACGTGCGATGCCAGTCGGCAACGGATCCACACCACGGCGTTTGTAACCGGAGCCAGCGCGGCACGGCGGTGAGCGCTGAGCTGCGGTGCTGGCTGGCTGCAGGCACCTCCAGCCTCGCTCAGCCAAGGTGTGACTGCGCAAGTGATTCAGCTGAATGGAACAAGCGCTCCAAAGAGGCACCCTGCAGTCAGCACGCAAGGACTCAAACGACTCCTCCACCCAGCAGGCTGCTCGTCTTTGCAACCGAACCCCACCGACCCCAATTGGTCCATTGTAGAACAAACTTCGGGGGGGGGGGGAATGGTGAATTTCAGTGCAAATGCCAAAGAATCTGAATCTGAAAGGAATGAGTAACACACCCAGCAACAGACAGATGAAAGCCAAGGCCCTCCGGGTAGAGCACCCTAATGCACACAGATAACACAAAGGGTAACCAGGGCTCCAGCACTAGACTTGACAGCCTTCGCAGCACAGCTAGCAAAACAAAAACACTGTGGAGTGTTTCTGGTTTGGAAGACAACATTTCATTCCGCTCCCAAATTCAAAAAGCCACCAACAATTTCATAACAAAACCACCTCGCTCAAACAGAGCGCGTTAAGGCATCGTGTTTTGAGATCATCACATCGATGTCTGGGGTTTTTCCAGCCTCTCCCTCACCTGCAGAACCCCGCACCATTCTGCTCCCGGCTGCACCGCCTTCACTGCCAGCACGTGCAGGGCTGTGGACATAGGGCACATCTACTTTATGAGCTGCAGCAGGGGACAGACTGGGGACAGGCTCCGCAGGGAGCGGGAGTAATTATCTCTGCCACTGCTTCAGGAGTAGTAACACTTAGTAATTGCTCCTGCAAGGCAGGAAGTCTGAGCCCCATTTTTTTGATAGGACATCATCAGGAAGCAGTGCCATTGCTTACCCGTGACACTGAGTCAGGAATCATTTCAGGAGCCCAGCACCTTGTGTTGCAGCTGTGTGATGCTCATCCCAAAGCTACGCGGCGACTAAGCAGAAAAGCCAATCTGGTACCCAACTGGGGCCTGACAGCAGGCACTGCCCGTTGGCTGGGACATGAGAGAGCCTCCCTGGGGCTTCCAGAAAGCCCTTCTGAGGCCACATCTGCCAACACAGAGGGCAATGCTTGGCCAGAGGAAGTTGAGGCCATTTCCCTGGGCTGGGGCAGCCCGGCACCCGGGCTATTGATTTGGGAGAACAACCAGAAGAACAAACAGGTTCCTCCGTTCACCTTGCTGCCTTAAAGAGCTTTTGTGTTACCTAACACCAGGACTTCACCGCTCTGAGTCCAACAAAAACACGCCAACGGAAGCCGAAGAAGGAAAGTTCTGTTGTTGTTGAAGCTGACATCTCCTGATCAGGCCAAAGAGCTGTCCTGCCCCCTCACGCAACAGCAGCACTCAGCCAAACAAATGCCACGGTCTATTTTTCAGGGGGATCAGCACACAGCTTGGGCTGCCCCTCCAAAAGGGGGCTGTGGGGAGGTGGGAGGCCCCGTCCCTTGGGCAGAACCCACCTGTAAGGGCTGCAGGACCGGACCAGGCGCTGCCAGCAGCTCCGGGGCGGTGGGATGGGCGCTGACCCCTCTGCTGTCAGATTGCATCCATGCCTCGTTGGGTCCCAACCCCTCCCGCTAAGCCAAGGCCACGGGCCCATCGTGGCGATGGGAAGAAGGGCACAAAGACCCTCCTGCCCCCCCAGCACAGCAGCGCGGTGTCAGGAGGTCCCACCCAGCTCCACCCCCCCCTCCCCAGCACTCACTCGAAGGTGAAGAAGAGGGCGCAGGTGCCGAGGATGAGGAATAGCGTCAGGTAGAAGATGCCCTTCTGCCGGGCCATCATGATGCGGCCATCGCAGCAGAAGGTGTTCCTGCCCGGCAGTTTCTCCCATTTCCGTACCACCTTCTTCCTCGCCACCATCACCGACATGGCGGGGCCGTCAGTGGGGCCGCCGCTCGGCCGGGCGCTGCCGCTCCGCCGCCCCCGGCATCCTCGGGCCCGCCTGGGCCGGGCTGGGCTGGGCCGTGCGCTGCGGGGAGAGGGCGGCTCAGCACGGGGGGGTTGGGAGGGGGTGGGGGGGTGGTGTCGTCATGGCAACATCCCCCCCCCCCCCCCCCTTTTTTTTTTTTTTTCAGGCTGTCGCTATGGCAACCCGCGGCTGGGTGTGTGCTGGGGGTGGGGGGGGACAGGGCGCGGCCGCGGAAAGCCCCGCGCACACCGAGCGCGGCTCCCGCCCCCCCGGGAACGGGGACGGGATGCGATCGGGAGGAGGAAGGGAGGAGGGAGGGAGGGGAGCGCGCGGCCGCCGCTCACCCCCAGGCGGTGTCGGCAGCGCCAGAGCGGGCCGCGCCGATCGCTGCTCAGCGCCGCGGGAGGGGCCGCCACGCCCCGCGACGCCGCTGTGGGAGCGGCCGCGCCCGCCATTGGGCCGCCGCCGCTCGGCGCCCCGCCCCTCCGCTCCCCTCTTCGCTCTCCCATTGGTTGGACTCGGTGTCGGTCTCTGGCTGTTACCAACGCTCCCGTGCGAACAAGGGGAGGCGGGGATGGGGGCGGGGCACGGCACGTGGCGGGGGCGGGGCCGGGCCGGGCGCTGCCGGGGTCCGCCGGAGGGGCGGGGAAGGAGACGGAGGGGAACGGGACAGAAAGGAAAAGGGCGATCCGCTCCCGCGCGGTCGCGTCGAGCCGCTGCGGCGAGCGCCTCCCCGCGGCCCGCCCCACCCGCAGCGCGGCCCTACGGCCCTTCCGCCACCGTTCGGCCGCGGCTCCTCCCGCTTCGAGGCGGTGCCCGTGCCCCGCCGCCATGGCGACCGTGACGTCACGGGCCGGGCGGAAGTGTGGCGCCTCGTGCAGGGCGGAAGCGTCGCGCTCTACGGCGCTTTGCGACGCCATGGCGGAGGAGTGGTTGGGCACCGAGGCAGCGGGTAGCGGGAGCGAGGAGGAGGAGGTGAGCGGGATCCGCGGGGCTGGCGCGGTGCGGGGCTGTGCTCCACGGCACCGGGCGCTCCGCTGCCCCGCGGGGTCCGGTGGGGGCGCCGAGCGGGCTTGGGGGGTCGGGGCTGGGCCTCACCCGCTCAGGCCCGGCCCCGCTGACCGTGTGCCCGGTGCGGCAGGAGCAGGACGATGGCGAGCGGCGGCACCAGCAGCTCCTGGAGGCGGTCAGCGCCCTCACGGGGCGGAAGCGGTGAGTGCGGGGCTTCGAGCTCCCGCTGCAGCCCGGCGGGAGGAGCACGTGGCGGGACGCTGCGCTCCCACGCGGTTGTTTCATTTTTGTACTTTATCGTCCTGACAGGCGGAAGCTGGCCGAGCGCTCCGAGGCCGGTGCACAGGTGTCTGAGTTCAACGTTAGCTGTAAAGGTGGGGTCCCTCCCTAGCTCCCCTGTTGAGGAGGCTGCTCCCCATCTGCTGGGGAGAGCTCTCAGGGTTTTGTGCTGGGCTTTGGGCTGAAGGCGCCTCTCCCTGGTGCTGCCCCACTTGGTGGCACCGTGGTGGTGCTGATGCACAGCGTCTTGTGTAGGTGCTGGGGAGAAACTTGTCCTGTCTGAGCTCCTGCAGCCCATCCGTGCCCGGTCTGCCCTGAGTGCTGTGAAGAAGGAGCTCAACAGAGTGAAGCAGAAGAAGGCGGTGGAGCTGCCGCTCAGCAAGGAGGAGGCAGAGCGGGTATGTGGGGCTGCTGCAGGCAGCACAGAGAGGGCATTCCAGCCCTAAGGGACAATCTTTAGCCCGTTTGTGCCATCTGTGTCTCTCTGATTCTGTCTGGCTTGTCTTGTCCCACAAATCAGCTTCTCTGCTCACTTTTTTTCCTTCTTGCTCCCATCTGCAGGTTGTGAGGGAGGCTGCCTATGTCAAGAGCTCTAAAGATGTTGGCAAATGGCAACCAGTGGTCCTGCAGAACCGCCGTGCAGAGCAGTTGGTTTTCCCACTGAAGGAGGAGATTGTGGCAGTTGCCCCCCTGGAGCAAGTGGTTTCAGCATGGAAGGTGGGTGCTGTCACATGCCCAACGCTGCCAATGGACGCAATTCTCCTCCCTGCTTTTATTTAGCACTCAGCACATCAGCTAAGCCTGCTGTTTCCTAGTCCCTCTCCTGACCTCAGTGCCTGCTCGTAGCACTCAGCTGCTTGTCTTTGAGTTGAAGGGTTTGGTTCACAAAACACTGTGTGTCAATAAGTTCTGGTTATTCTAGTGTTGAACACAAGTTCCCTTGTAGTTTGTGTTGCTCCTCAGGAGAGTTACTCATCCTTGGAGAGCTTTCCCAGGTCAGGGCAGTCTTTATCAAGCTCCCAGCTCAACAAGCACCTGTCTGCATAGAGATTTCTCCTTGTCTCTCGTGAGGCCTGGGACTTCGGCTTGTTTGTGCCCTCCTATGGGACTGCTCTGGCATCAGGAAGGATGGGAAGGTGTGTGTGGGTGTCTGTTCCTGCAGTCTTTTGTGCCTCATCCAGTCTCACTGCCTGTTCTGTCCCATCACCAGCCCCGAACTCCGCTGGAGCAGGAGATCTTTGGTCTGCTCCACAAAACACAGCAGCCCATCACAGACCCACTCCTGACACCTCAGGAGAAAGCCTCACTGCAGGCAATGAGCTTGGAGGAGGTGAGTGGTTCTTCTTTCAGCTGCGCTCTGCCTCTGCAGGCCTCTTCCCTCATGCTTTTCCTTGCACTGTGTTTCCTGGCAGGCCAAGCGGCGGCGAGCAGAGCTGCAGAAGGCTCGAGTTCTGCAGTCCTACTATGAAGCCAAGGCTCGTCGGGAGAAGAAGATCAAGAGCAAGAAGTAAGGCTATAGCATTGCTGGGCTCAGTGATCTGGAGCCCAGTGCTTGAGAGTGGTTAAAAGGTGGAGGAAAGCAGAGACTCGAGTTGAAATGTTGCTGGGAAGCAGTGCTGCTTCCTGCACAAAACAGTCCTCCCTTGCCGAAGCAGAGGCTGGGTGCCTGTACCAGATCTCACTCGTCAACTGTCTGCTCTTGTGCTGCAGGTACCATCGTGTGCTGAAGAAAAGCAAGAGACGCAAGGCCTTAAAGGAGTTTGAGATGCTGCAGAAGTCAGACCCCGAGGCTGCCTTGGCAAAACTGGAGGAGCTGGATCAGCTCCGGATGGAGGTGCTGCTTTCTCGCTTCTTCTTCATCCTTTGGGAAGTCCCTAATCCTGAGAGTGTTCTTTCTGATGCTTTTCTTTGCCTCTGCCCCAGGAGCGGATGAGTCTCAAGCACCAGAACAAGGGAAAATGGGCCCGCTCACGGGCCATTATGGCCAAGTATGACCTGGAGGTGAGATGCAGCTTGGGGAAGGGGAGGGCAGCTGAGAGTGGGTCAAGGAAGGGGGCATGTTGTTTTCTGGCTTGTGTTAGAAACATCTCAATCCCATCCCAGGCCCGCAAGGCCATGCAAGAGCAGCTGGCCAGGAACAAGGAGCTGACACAGAAGGTGCGGGTGGAATTGCCTGAGGAAGAGCCAGCTGACGTGCCTGAGGAAGACCTCACTTCCACAGCCATCCCTCCTGTCTCTGTCAGAGCAAACAAAGCAAATCCTTGGATGCTGGGCAAACCCAGTGACCCAGCCCAGGAGCCTGATGTGCCAGAGGACCTTGGAAATGCTGCAGTGCCAGTTGCTGTAGAGAACAAGGAGGAGATGTCTGAGGAGGAGGAAGAGCTGTCAGAGGAGGAGGCACTGCTACAAGACTTTCAGCAGAAGCGGCAAGCACGGCAGCGGCAGTCAGGGAGTCCTGAGCAGCACAGCGAGGAGCTCACAGTCCTGCCTTGTGTCTGCAGTGTCACAGAGCAAGATGGGTCATTAGGTTTGTGTTTTCACTCAACTCTTCTTCTCTTTCCTCTCCTGTTCATGGGGTGGATGTTCCTCCACTGTTCTCTTGATGCGTAGGTGCTGATGAGACAGAAGAAGTTTCTGAACAACTGCCAGGGGATGGCTCCATCCACCCAGTCAGTGTCGAGGAGCAGGTGAGCCCAGTGATCGAGCTGCCTTCCCAGGCCCAGGAGGAGCCCTTGCTGTCAGAGCAGCTGCACCGTGTGCAGACAATGGAGGACATTGAGGCTTTGGCCTCTGAGGAGCTCACAGCAGAGCAGGAGAAGCCAGTGATTGTGGGCACAGAGAAGCCAGCACGCCGTCAGCAGGAAGGCAGAGCTACAGCCAAGCCTGCTGAGAAATCAGCAACCAAGAAGAAAATAATCAGCTTGCAGTCTGTGCTGTCTGGAAAGCTCCGGGAGGCTCAGTGCCCCAACCTACCTGCGGTCATGGTGGAAGAGGTGAGCAGCGTGGGGCTGTCCTGGACTGGGGGCCATTCTGGCTGTGGGGCTGTAACTCCCATCTCTGCAGGAGGATGGCTTTGACCAGCGAGGAGTGATCACAGAGGCCTTTGCTGGGGACGATGTGGTTGCCGACTTCAATCGGGAGAAGCACAAAGCAGAGCAGGCTGCAAAGCCACAGCCACTGAACTTGGTTCTGCCAGGCTGGGGCGAGTGGGGAGGCACCGGCCTGAAGCCCAGCAACAAGAAAATAAAACGGTATGTGTGGATGGGCTGCTGCAGCAACGTGCCTCAGCCCTGCTCCGGCATCTGATGTTCTCACCTGTCTGGCAGGTTTCTGATCAAGCCAGCCCCGGCACCTCCCAGGAAGGACCAGCATTTGCCCCATGTTATCATTAGTGAGCAGCGCAACATCCATGCAGCAGCACATCAGGTGGGTGCTGGAGCTGGCCTGGGCTTTTCCAAAACTTCCCTGCTTGTAAAAGTGCCATTTAGTTTTGACAGCCCTGGGGGCAGTGGATGAGGTGGAATTTATAGCCCTATTCCCTTGAGTGCTCTTGTATCTGCTGTCCTGAGGCATACTAAACATTGGACTTAAGGCAAGAGGGAGGAGGGGATCGTGGGGCAGGGGCTGAACAGGTCATGGAGCGATGGAAGTCGATGTCCACATGGGATTAAAGCGGCCCCAGAGTGCAGGGCCAGGTTGCTGGCAGTGTCACCCTCTCTGCTGTTTCCCTGCAGGTCAGCGAGCTGCCCTTCCCCTTTGAGAGTCACC